CCTTCCCCTCCTTGTTGGCTGCTGTTGGCCTGGGGAGCTCTGCCTGGGGACCTCTAGTGGCAGCACCGCACCGCCTGCAAGGGAAAAGAAAACAACCACCTACGGGTTTTTTCAGGCTGGTATGTATTAGTAGCGCATTTTAAAAGGCATAATTTGATTTCTGAAGAGACTTAGAATTATCAGACAGGAATAACACGACGACATCCATTTATTTGGAGCGGGGGGATCCGAAGGAGTAGTCTTCCTAGCGCACCTGTTTTTAAACTCAAAGGTATAGCTATAAACAAATAGATAGCCACACGCTACTTGTATGTTTATATACATACCTAGAAATTTAATGTTACTCAACACAACCCCAAACTCCTTAGGTTGAAAACCTCCTATCAGACTCCCTGCTCCCTTGTAAGCAGCACGGCAAAGAAGAAAGGGAGGCAGAAAGACGCTAAAGGCCTAAAACAGGGAGAAAGAGGAGCTAGCGCAGCATTTTTCCTCTGACATCTTTGCAACCCTACTCCAAAGAATGACCACAAGCATATTTCATGACCACATTTCTAAGAATCTGGAAGCAGTTCTACCATCCTACGCAATCCCCATCCTCAACAGATACCACCTAAAATCTTAATTGAATCAAAAAAACCCTGACCCAAATACCAACTAATTTATATTTGGGTGCGGCTGCAGAATAACAACTGATAGCAACAGGTTTCCCCTGAAAAAATTAGGGATACACGGGAACTCCTCACTTGATTACTTACTCTGCACTTTGATCCTCCAAATCCTGCCCCCCTGGAGCAGCATGCAGGGAATGCTCTCAGACAGAAGCTTTTAGTCTCCTGCCCACTGCCAGCAGAATCTCACACTGGGTTTATTCCTGGCAGAGTAACTTCTGGCTGACTGACCTCAGCTCACGTCCCCAAGGCCCGTTTTCCAATACATTCTTTGCACAGTTACGCACTTTCTTAAGTGTTACAGCAATGAGAGAAAACAACTTACTCATCTTTTTGAAAGCTGCAGTCAGAAGCGTAGTGCTGTTTTAATCTTTTAGTTTTTATGTAGTACCACTGAATATGAAAGACTTTCAAACTTTCATGCCCCCATCAGGCCCTTAGAAAAGTATTGTAAGGGCATGGGAAAAAAAAAAAATTAAAAAAATCACTAACCAGAAGCTGACCTGACAGGTGAAATTTCCAAACCATCTAATGCTGACATTAGGCAATCTTAGACTCAGTTATTTCGCTATGCAGACAGGTCGCAGTGCAAGCGTAAGAAGGAAGTTTAGAGCAGAATTTTCAGAATGTGCCAGGAGTGCTCTTCAGGTTATGATCTGTTGTTTGCATTTATTGCTCTACTGAGCATTTACCCTAAATTATTTCATTTTAATTCAGTACATGTCTGACATAATCTTCATTAGTTCTGAAACACATTTATAACAAAGAAAACTTAAATAACTAACTTCCAGTCCATGTCACAAAAGACCAACTGAAAAAAAATCCTGACATATAATAAGTATTGTAGAATAAAGGCAAGTGTGATGAATAACACTGAGGTATCATTCAGTAACTTCTACTGCTAGCCATGTGTACTTCTTGCAAACACAGCTGTGCTGTTTCTGTTTCGCAGCTGTGCATTCTGCAATGCTAGGTGCTCTCATATTTGCCTTCTGCATTACTTTAAATTCAGAGACATCTTCATTGTTATAAAGCTACTTTAGCATAAAGGAACTACATACCACCAGGAGTTACAAATCCGATTGACGACCTCTACAATAACAAGCCTTTATTTAGCAAGCCCGGAATTTTCATGCAACAGCTAAAAATGTCTTTAGTGGCCAAACTTTGTACATTTATATTTCAACACAAACATATAGTTTCAAAAATGTTCTATTAGAATTTCAGCAACATAGCCTTGACTGACGTGCGATTACTGAGCACTGTGGTATCTTTCCCCTTTACCTACCCTGCCCGCTCCCCCCTCAATAATTAGCGTTTTACTTTACAAAGATTTTTTAAACAGCCTGCATGAATGACATTGCGAAATAAAACTGCAATATATGGTGGTGAAAAAGGCTTCCTATTATTTCAAATGCTTAAAATGCATATATTTATTTCAGAAATATTTGAGGAGCCAAAAATATCAGAATATTCCACCCTGCCCTTGTTTTACCAGTTAATCTTTGACATGACTCTTGGACTAAAAGAGCAACAATAAGCGCACATCCCAAACCTCCCCCACCTCCAGAATCACAATTCTACAGCCTTTACTTTTCAAAAAGTAAATGCTTGAAACTGCTCGGTCTTACGGTACACAGCGGGGAAGATCACCTGCTATTTTTTTACTGTGCCTGCTATTTCCCCCTTACCTTGTGCAGCGATCCAAAGACACCGAGTCTCCTTTCACATACGTGTAGCCGAAAACACCCCACAGCGCTCCAAGACTTTTTCTCCCGGAGCCATCTCATCTGTATTCCTCGGGAACTGACTTACTGTGTTGCTCTTGTCCGAAGCAGCTGCTATCTCGGCTAACCCACCTTCTTCTCAGATCACTCATAGTGAAAACATTCCTCACTTCCTGTCTCAAAAAACTTGGTCTGGATATCATTCCACTGGGTAAAGAGCTGGGGGTGGAAGAAAATATTACAGCAAAATAAACCTGTGCCAGCCAGCTCTTCAGGCAGCCTCTTTCATGTGACGCTGCGCTGCATGAGCGCAAATTGCGTTCTCGGGAATATTTTCAAATCGCCCGTCTCTGTGTGCCTCTCTGTGTGTGCATTTAATTTCTTTTCCTGGAGGTGTTCCCCTCGCTCTATCCATGCGGAAGGATACGCTGAAAGAATTAAAGCGAAGGCCCGTATGCTTGCAGCCCATTACCTCAGAGAGTTGGAATGCCTGGCAGGGAGAATGTCAGCAATGAACAGCTGCTTCTCTGGCTACAGGGGCATTACAGAAATAGGGGTTACAACAAATAGCAGGCAATCCTTGCTTTTTTTAATCATATGATCATTTATTTTAAGCCTTTCCAGTTAAGGCAAATCTCTTACCAAAAATTCTGTTGCTCTTATTTTCATGCAGCTTGGAAATATTTTCAAGGTTTAATCCGTATGTGTCGTACCAAATGACCTATGCGCATACATTTATGTCTGCAGCTAAAAACAAAAGTCCTTGAAAAGCTTCAGCTGTTGGTAATACACACAGCAAGAAAATACAGAGTAAAGACTGATCTTTCAGCCCTTGTCTGGGCTTAAAAGTCACAAGAGTGTCAGTAGAAATTATGCCCTTAATAACAACTGTCTTAGCAAGCGTTAAATGCATATCAATTAAGTAATCTTTATAGTGTTTAACCAATGCAAACATCATATAAGGGGCTGCACTCCAGTCCCACAAATATATGGAGACCTCTCTGTGTGTGTGCGTGTTTGCCTGTGTGTGAAATCAGCAATTGTTGTATGCAATTTGGAATTTTATGGCTCTCCACAATGCATGAGCCAGGGAAAAGTATATACAAACTCGAAACAGGTCAGGGATGAGGAAAAAGGTAAAGTGAGTATGTGAACGCTGACTCATAACTGTAAAACTTAGAAAGTGTTTTGGTAATGTAAAGTGCACAAACATGCTACTGTCTGAGCAGGTCTAACCTGCAGATCTACTACGCAAATAGCATGCTGCTCAGGAGGACACTAATCTCAGCTGAAATATGTAGGTATTTTTGTACTATGATGAATTCTTCTGAGTTATTTCTCTTAGACACAATGGTCTTTCCTCGGATCAGGAGAATATCCTTTTTTTTCCCCTCCATACACCATCCATAGTTATGATGAGCAGTCCATAAGCCAAAAGAACAACTCATTCAGGGGAATTTTATATTGAGTAAAATAAACTAACTTTGAACTAACGTAAATGGATACCCTTTTCTAATGGTATCTGCTACAGGCCAGAACTACAATTACTAAAGAAAAGTGACTGATACAATGCACGACAAATCTAAGCCACGAAAATTCAGGGTAACAGAGGCAACTCCTCCTATTTCTAAACAATTCATACTGGAAACAAGGTCTCAATGCTCTTATCTGTCACATTTCCTATTCTAAATCTTGATCACACCCATTTCCTGCCTGATTCCCTGCCTAGAAATTGCATTTATTAGAGTTTTCTTACTTTCCATAGTTAGTCCTTGCTGCATTTTCTTTCTTTGCATTTACATTAAAGACAACACCTCATCTTAAAAGAGACAGCTAGGTCATAGTCAATATGCTCCTCTGCAGCCTACATTTTGTCCTTTTGAAGCTCATCACACTTTTATTCCTGAATTATTAATTTTTTTTCTTCTGCTTCCTATAACCCCAGTTTGTATCCTTTGTGTCTTGCTGCACTTTCTCCATTTTGTCCTATCTCTTTTTTTGCCTCATCAGCTCTCCATTACCTGCTTTGCTCCAACTATCAACTCCAATAAAAAGGACAAAGAGACAAAGGCATCCATGAACATGTGATGAACTCTGATAAAGACACATCAAGAAGGCATAGAGTGATTGCCTCAGGGCACTATACTGTGCTTCTGCTTCTCCCCTTTAACCCCTGGTCATCACTCATGACGTGCATGGGTAGAAAAACATGCATCTTTTGCTGTACTCTTTACTCTCTTGTTGAAGATTATGGGAGGAAAAGACTAATATCCTACAGCTGAATGTTGCAGCCCTTGTCCTCTAAGTACAAAGGAAAGTTTCTGCCCATCGGGTTGAATACTGCCTGCCCATCATGGAACAGGAATAAACCTATTTTGTTCTTATTGACAACTTCCCTTCTGGGACAGTTTTGATTTTTTTTTCCATCCTGGTCCAAATACGTGATTGCAGTTGAGTGCATCGGCCAACAGGGTGAAGGCTGACGCAAGTATTCACCTTCTTCCGATTCTGGGAACTCTGTCCAGCGTCAGGTCTTTGCATTGACTAATGGTAAGACAGAAAGTTGGAAGTGAGCCGAACGGGAAGCAGAATCAGTCACCCTCCAGGCAGAAAAGTGGTATGCATGTATGTACTCCTCAGTCTAGCAGAGAGTTTTCCATTTGTGATAAAAACACAGGCAGGATAATCCAGAAACTACTAGTTAAAGGGGCATTCCCAGGATGCTGAAACAATGAAGAAGTCATGTGGAAAAATACCCTGATTTCCTCACTAGCCATGCAAAATAGCGACTTCATGAATTGACAAGTCAGAATACCTCTGGTTCTACATGTGACTCTTAAAGCTGTTCTCTGAACAAATTCACTTTATTCATCACATCTGTGTTTTGGCTCTGTGTCTGAAGCCTCCCTGTTTTTTCATCATTCCATTTCTTATTTGTGAAAAAGAAAGAGATAGCTGGGTCTTTATGAATCATTACATATTTCTTGATGGTAATGGAGAGAATGGAAGGTGCTAGAAAAATGAGCATACAATATTTCTATTACATGCTTAAAGCCTGAAATTTCATGTTTGCAAGATTCATTTTTACTGATAAGGCACTGTAAAATGTTGAACCATGTTCTACTAAGTAACTAATGAAGGTCATAGAATTTTCCTATTAGCAGAAAACAGGCACTTTTCCTACACATAATGCAGTGCTGAAGTTGAAGCAATGAGCTCCCGTTGTTATTCACAAAGGATACATTTTTTTAAACACAATATTTCTTTCTAAAGTAAATCTACTATTTAGTTATGAAATAAACTCAATTCCTCTTTCTGTCCTTCAATAAATATTTTTCTTGTTCCAATAATAAAGTAATACAACTTATTTGAAATCTTAAGAGAGCAAAATGTGTCTCTTGAAGGTTAAAACGGAATGTTGTAACTAATCTGTTACTACTTGTATCTCACTGTAACACCAGTATATTTTAAGTATAGTCAGGCAAACAGCTCAGTTCATTAGCAATAATTAGTCTAGGCTATCTCTGTATGATGTTTGGTTTATATTAGGAGCAGTGATGCAGAAAGATTAATACAGCTGTTAACTACAACGCCTGGAGTTTATTTTACCCAGTGGCATTACTTGTAAAAGAGCCTCAGAATGTAGGCTGGGCTTTCTGTAATGTTACTACTCACTGAGTCAGCTGAAGTGAAGCTGGGACATCGGTGCAAAAGATAAAGGGTATGCCTCAAACATGACTTCTTTTCTGCTTACTGTTATCCGCCCTGTAGGGTTTTCTCCACATAGTTCTTCCTCCCTCCGCAGCTGATCCCTTGTAGCAGTAAGGCTAGTAGATGCTCTTTCTTAGGGAAAAAAAAAAGCATGTTGTTTTAAGGCTTCTCATAAGTCTAATGTGGGGTCACAAAACTAAAGTTCAATACTAAAATACTTTCATAGTGTAGCTGTATTAGGGCATTAAAAGTTACTTTGTGTATTGCTATACTGTAATTTATTTGTTTTTTAACAAACACATATTTAAATCTTCCATTTTTGTACTTTTTAAGAAAGAGCATTAATATTAAAATAACCATAATCTTATGATATTCATACTTATCCTAAGCCATGTGGCAGGACTTTATAAACCAGTTTTATAGAAACCGGGAATGAAGCAAGGGGCAACTTAAAAAAAGCTGAATGTGGCACTTGAGCAATCAAGAGTAGACCCTCTGACACACAACCGTTTAGAAATACGTAGATGACACGTTTATTTCTTCACCCTAGGGCCAGACGCCCGAGCGCGTCGGGTGCCCGCGGAGCAAGGCAGGCCGCAGTGGTTTGCGGCGACCGACGGCCCGAGGCGGCCAGGCCTCCCTGCCCACCGGCTGGGGCTGCCTGTCCCCCTGCTCCCCGCGGTGGTCCCTTCAGGGGTACCAGGGCGAGCTGCCGAGCCCGAGCGCTTACGGGACACGGCGGGGGCGCCGCCCCCGACGCG